TTAAAACAATACAGCCCAAACCTTACAGCAGGAAAATGAGAGAGAAAAGAAAACTAAAGCACTGGATTCAGGGGCTTTACAGTGCTTTAATATTTAAACCCTAACAGAAACTGAATAAATAAAATGGAAAAAAAAGTATCCAAGCTTCGCATGCAACTTTTATGGCTGGCATCAAACTGCAATACCCTTTATTGCTCAAATGCAAAACAGCTAGTAAAATCACATTATCATCCTTCTCCCTTCAGCATTCAGGAATAGTCCCAGAGTGGAGAAGCTGATAAAACCAGCTTTGCTTTGTCTCTGAAAGAGAAAAAAAAACTCCCAGCAACATCCTGAATCTCACCCCTCCACTTTTAAGCTTTATTTTATTTTTTTATGTCTCTAAAAACACATCTAGCGCTCTGAGATGTTTGGATTCCTTAAAATGCGAATAAATAGCTGGAGACAGCACAGAATGCGCAAAAAGCCAGAGGAAGGTATTCAAAGGAACACGAGGCCTAGCCGTTTGTGATTCTGGTTATAGTAGCTGAAATCGCAATTAAACTGAGGAGAGCAATGGATTCCGTGATTGGTCTTGACACTAATTACACAGAAACCAGAAATAAAGACATTTATGCAAATTCACTATTAGCTGGAGCTTGTTACTCCATCTCTGTAGCTTGCATTACCTTTTCTAACTCCAGAAGATGAAACCGTAATACTTGGATAGCTTGGATCATCTGAAGAAGAAAAAAAAGAAAACAATAAATAAAAATACAAATAAAAGTTCAAACATTACAACAAGGGATACTGTAATATAATTGCCTCTATTAAACAAAACAAAAAAAGTTGGGTTTTTTTGCACAACTTTTCCTAACAAAAGGTGTACTTGGCTCTCCTCATGTGACCGATATAACATAAGCCAAACACAAACTCATGAGTTAACATATAAATCCAGCACAGCAAATGGTGTTTCCTGGCTATCTTTTTTATGCCCTTCCATTGAAATCCCCAAATAGTGGGGGGCTTTTAATATGTTTTCAATCTGTTTGTCTACAACTCTTGGGGGGGGGGGGGGG